GATGCATACAGCAACATGAATGAACCTCAAAAGCATTATTCGAAATGAAAGATGCCAGACACAAAATACTACATATTGTATGATTCCATTAATATGAAGTATATTACAAAAAGCAAAACTATGGTGCTAGAAAGCAGATTAATGGTTACCTGAGGCTAGGGGGAGGGGATTGACAACAAAGGGGCATGAGTGAATTATTAGGGGTAACAGAAATGCTTTGTACCAAGGGTTCCCCAATCCCCGGGCCATGCACTGGTACCTGTCCGTGGCCTGTTAGGAACTGGGCCGCACAGTAGGAGGTACATAGTGGGCAAGTGAGTGAAGTTTCATCTGTATTTGCAGCTGCTCCCCAGCGCTAGCATCACTGCCTCAGCTCCACCTTAGATCATCAGGCATTAGATTCTCATAGGAGCACTGGTCCCTGGTGCCAAAAAGGTTGAGGACTGCTGCTCTATATGATCATTGTGGTGGTGGTAGTACATGAATGGATACATTTGTCATGACACATCAAATTAAACACTTAAAGTTGATAAATTTTGCCTTAACTAAAACTTAATTAAAAATAATACTTTAATACTAAAGCTGACAATTGTCTTTTTTAATTAAAGCAAAAAAAGTGAGAAGAAAATTGATATTAGGACTGAAGAATGGGATATAACTATAAATAAAACAGAGTTTTTAGAAAATCATGAGGGAACAACTTTAAATACACCTTAAAACTTAGGTGAAGTAGACAATATTTTTTCAAAATTATAACTTAATAAACTGAACCAATAGAAAAGTTCTTAACTGGAAGTTCATAACCCAGATGTTCCCAAATCTGCCAAAGACAGTGAAGAGTTTGAGGGATAACAGTTCTTAAGACCACCCTCATGTCTGACACCAAATGAAGTTTGGGGTCCTCAAGACCACACTTAGATTTGATCATTCATTGGAGGAACTCGTAGAACTCACTGAAAGCTATTATGCTTGTGGCTATAGTTTATTATAAGGAAAAGATACAGATTAAAATTAGCCAAGAGAAGAAGTGCATAGGGCAGAGTCCAATAATGTCCCAAACAAAGACCTTCCAGTTGTTCTCTAACTGTGGAATCATGAACATGTCACTTTTTCAGGAGCCAAGTGTGACAGGACACAGAGTATGGCTACCATGGTAGCTCACCTGGGCCTTGGTTTCCAGAGTCTTTATTGGGATTCAATCAAGCAAACCTCGTTGGTTGCCTATATGGACAATCTCAGGCTTCCCACCCTAAATCACATTGTTGGTGTGGTTCAAAGTTCCAATCCTAAATCACATTATTACTGGCTGGCTATACTAATATCATATTAAGTTTAATTACAATGACTTTATAGTATATTTTGATATTTGGTAAGGCAAATTTTGCCTCCTTGTTCTTTTATGTAACTTTTATAACTACTCTCAGATATTTGTATTTCCTTATAAAACTTGAATTCTATATTAGTCAAATTACATTTAGTTACAAGTGTGCACTGTTTATACTCCATGAGTTGAGTTTAATTGCTGTATAAAAATCTTCTCGAAGATTACATTATATTTTGGCACTAAAATGAACAAGTTATTGTAAATGCAGAAATTCATGGAAACAACAATGGAACATAAATTTGATATTAGTAAAGGAAATTTTATCATCAGAAGAATGATTTCATTTCCTTTTTTTCTTGCAAAGCAACAATTGAGCTTTATAGAATGAAGAGAGAAAGCTATCCCCCTACTCCCACCTCGTCTATTATGTTTTGCTAAGATACATGCAAATGGATTGTAATGCAATGAAAACTTTGCCAATTTCTTGAAATAGATGAAAGAAATTCCAAAGCAATGAGAGGTTGGTGTCATTAATTCACATGTTTTGAAGGACTATCATTAAGATGTCAAACAACTATTTACCAAAACTTTCTGCTCACTTTGAGCAGAAGACAACAGTGGAGCACTCGTTAAGAAATGTCGTATCACCAGTGCTCCTAATAGCCAAGTAATAACATTATATGACAAAATCCAGACAACAGTGACTCAATCCAAAAAAGATAGAGAAGAGTTGTGACTTTGGATGTGAAGATGTCTTAGGAACACCTTAACACATTTATTTCACTTTCTTTTTCATTTTAAGTGTGTACACAGTCGTGTATGAAATGGGAACTAACTCAGACTTCAACCAATCAGAGTGCATCAGTACTTTGGCCTCAGTGACCAATCAGAGTGAGCCTCTGGGCTTTGTTCACTTGTCGATCTAACTGTCCTCCTCCCCTTGTTGGATCTGAGAAGCCATACTATGACCAAGAGGAACCAGCCTTAACACGAAGCAAACACATGGATAACCAAAGCAGAGAAGCAAAAGAACCAGGATCATCGATGACATATTGAACTGCATGATCACCTCAAGGCAGTTTGAGTTGAGTTTTCTGCTACTTGCCAAGCCAAAGCTTTTTAATTGAATGAAGGCCCAGTAAATGTTAACGAATACAAGAAATGATAGGAGTGAGGACACTAGGGTAAGCCCTACTTCCCCAACCTGGAGCCAGAATGATCTCACCATCCAGCCCCCAATCAGTCATTGATTCATTTCATGAACCATTGGTTGTGTCTATTGAGGACTCCAGAAAGGACACCCTAAAGGTTTTGCTGTGAGGCATATCAGAGAAGCAGAGCACCTTTATATACTTTTTAAAAGCAGGAAAAAATGGAATTCTGGGATATCGGCAAATAGGAAGTTATTTGGAGCTGATCAGTGCACATCTATTTTTGTGGTTCATATACATTTTTAGATTTTTTTTTAATTCATCCTTCAACTTCCATTTTTAGATCTTGATTTGACTTTCAACTCATCCACAGAATGGGAATCTAAGCCTGAGGCAATGAAGTCAAGCACTATTTTTACTTTATTTTCACTTTGATGCTAGCTGCTTCCCAAACTGTTCCCACTGAGCCCAGATACCACAGGACCATCAGCTTAAAAAATCATGTTATGCTGCTGGCATGGATCACTGCCGAATGAATAAATGAAGCTAGCTGAATCTAACAGTGGCTGTAATGCTGAAAGAATCCCAAGTCCCATATATACCACCTGCTAGCAATGTTTCAGCTTGTCCTAAGGGGTTTGTGAAGGAGAGGAGTTTCTCAGACCCTGGGAACATATCTAAGTTATCTAAGTTGTCATAAAGCTCCCAGTCAACCTTAATTTCACCCCCCTTAAATTCAAAATCTAGGTTATCCTATGGTCTTTACAACACTAGAATTACTTTTCTCTTTAAAATTTGGCAGATTGGTGGTTTTCTTTTTAATTCTCTAGCTTCATAAGTAAGTTTTCCTGTGCCTACTTGCCCATAACATATTCTTCTGGTCTGATGACTGCTTTTTAATGAGTTCAGCCTGTGCCTTCTCAGACAAATTGGGAGTATGAGGAGTGTGTTAATTAGCTATCAAATATAGCCTGGCTTTTGAAGTCCAGAACTTTGGCATGTTACAGAAGTATAAATACAATCATAGCTTTTTGCTTTTGGTAATTATATCACAACTGAAATCTCAGGGAGACTCCCACTCCAGGATTCTGCTACCCTTGACCCCTGAATGGTTCTGTCATTAACAGTCAGTCTCTGGGGAACCATACCCAAAGGAAATGACTTCCTGTTTTGTTCTAAGTGGCCATTCTTCCCTGCAACCTTCCCCACTGTTTGCCAAACATCCTATTTCAGGATGGAGAGAATGAGCCTTCAACTCTTCCCTTTCACAGGATAAAGAGAAATTAGGCAGGAATGAGAAAGTCACTCTGGGGGGTAAATTGCCTTTTTACGATCATATTGTACCAATTATACCAAACACATTGGGGCCTTCAAATCAAATACCTAGTCCTGTGGAAAGCCTGCATGATCACTCAAGCTTATTCCTCTCACCCCCAATCTAGAAGAAACACCCTCTCTTTCACACTTACAAGTTTGTCTCAGTGCTGGCCTTGGGCCAGGCTTTGGAGTCCCAAACGTGAAGCAAAAAATCTCACAGTCTTGTCTTAAGGAGAGATCTCTTGAGGAGACTCTATAGGTCCATAAGTTTACAAGGAACCTGGAGTCTGAGTGGGAGATCAGGGAGGCAAATCGGGTAAGTTTTTAGATTTGTATACCAGTAGCTGGTTCTCAGGTGAAGTGGGGGCCGGGCATTACAGGCAGACTGCCACCTCTGACCAGTGGACGGTGTCAGCCTTGCGCTGCTACTTCATTGCTCTCTGCCCTGCGACTGACCAAACTGTTGTCCCAGTGATATTTTGTGTTGTAAATCAGTTCTATTTCTGAAAAGGTGTTTTCCCAATTGCCTACTTTTATAAAAGTGTGGACACTTAATATATGAAGAGTAAAAGAATGAGTGAATGAATGAATGATAGAGTCCAAATTAAACCATGTTTCTCAGACTCTGGGAGGAGTCGGGCAACGTCCCAGGAGCCGGTGCGCCAAGCCACCACTCGCGACCCTCTGCCTAATGGCTAGCATTTGGGGATGAGACTATGAGATGGGATCAGAGGCTGGCAATTCCGAAGCTGTTCCTAAAGCTTGAAGGGACACTCATCAGAATGCGTTGGTCCTACAGATTCCTCCTCCCTATGCTCTCTTTCAACCAAAAAAAAAAAAAAAAGTCGTCAAAGAAACTGCTGAAAAACTCGCTGAGGACTGAAAGGTGACCAGGAATGCTCGGCTACAGGACAGGTGTTTCCAGATCCAATTAGGGCAGCAGCCCAGAGCTTCCATTTTCTCCAGAAAGCGCTCCTAACGAATCAGGAGTATAGGGTCATCACTCGCGAAGGACTGAACGAAGCTAGAGTTGTGAGAACAAGTGACCGCAAGCGAACAGCCCGTAGGGCGGCGGAGACCCGGAACCAGGCTCAGTGAGCAGAGAAAGAAGAGCTAAACGTGGGCCACGGCTACGGAGCCGGAGCTCCTCCCACAGGGGGTGGGGCGGAGATCACGTGGAAGCGGCGCGGCAGTGGCGCAGGCGCAAACCTGCGCAGGCGCGGAGTCCACCTCTGGACCCAGGAGGTGGGTGAGACTTAGGTCCTCCACCCCCTAGCGTCCGGCCAAGGAGAAGGCGGGCGGGAGGGAAGCGCTAGCAGGATCTGCTGCACGCAGGGCTCTGCGAAGCACATGACCTCCGCGAAGGCGGGTTCAGCCTCGGCACAGGTGAGGAAACTGAGACAGAGCTTGGTCGGCGGTGTGCGAATTGAGTAGCTGCTGGGTTTATTAGGTCCGCTCCTCAGACGTGTCCAGAGCGAGCGAAAAGCTCCTTGCGAGCCCTTCCAGCGCTGCTGCACCTGCGGGGTCCGAGGCGACCCCTACCTTGCCCAGAGGACGACTCCTCCCACCCCCCGCCCCACGCAGTTCTGCTCGCCGCACAGCGCCGCTGTCAGTGGAAAAGCCCCGCGTTTGGGATCAGAGACCCGGGGCGGGAACTGGCGCGGATCTGACTTGTGAAGATCCCCTGTCTACCCCACCCCCAGGCTTTGAGGCTGATGACACCGACCTGCCTGAATTGTTGGGACAAAGGACAGAAAAGAATTCTGCCCTGGAACGTCCGTCCTCCAGGAGCCGAGCCCGGGGTGGGCCAGGGAACTGCCGTGGGGTGGCGGGCGGAATAGCTGCAGGTGAGCGGGTAGAGGCTGAGGGACCTGACGTCCTCGGCTATGTACTTGCATAAGGTCATGGTTTTATGGGGCCATGTATTCTAGCTTTTTCAGAATCTCATAGGCACCTGTTTGCCTCCCTTCCCCGAAGGTTACAAACTCCTGAAAAAATAGAAACAGCCCAAGTGCCCATTTTAAAACACAGAGCTGAAGTCTGGGAATGAAAAGATGAGCGAGACACTGATCCTCGAGCTTGTTGCAGGGACCCGGAGGTGCAGGAGATGGAAAAGATGGTTAAGGCCCAGCCTGATGACTGTAGGGAGACAGCTCACCTGGCAAAGCCAAAAGCCAGAGTGGGATTCAGGCCCAGCTGACTTTGAGCCTCTTTTCCTTACCACACCTTGCTCTGTCCACAACCCAATTATCTAGACTTCAATTTAATTTGGTTTAAATTTTAATGTATTTTCCTTTGAGCTTGGCAGATTAATTAAGAAAGAGGATACCTAGGATTTATTTTGAAAAGCGTTATTGGGTAGCCAGGTTGTATAGTCTTGGATGCTCCTGTTCTGGCCCAATCCTGGAAACTGAGAATTGAGATTCAAAATGTGAACTCCAACTCCTTGGAACATACCCAGTTATCAGAAACCCTCCATTTTGTGTACAGACCATGTTTTAGGGTCAATCATTGACTAATCTAGAAATGAGTAAGAATTATACTTCACATTTGTGTCACTCTTTTTAAGGTAGCTTGCAAAGCACCACCTATACATTTAATCCTTTGATTCTTACCACTCTGTAGAAGGTAATTCGGGAATTATTCCTGTTTTACTGATGCAAACAATAACAACAAACAACAACAACAACTAACAATGCTTTGTCCAGGTTCTTACTGCATGTGGAATTTGAGTTAGATTGTAGTTATTGGACCTGCCCCTCCCATATCGCCTTCTTTGTGAGGCATGCCATTTAATTGAGACTTTATGCATTATTCTTGAGGGGTACAGAAGACATTTCTGATAATTGTGTTATCAGCTTGTGTCACTTAAATGGTGCTTGGAAAGTTGGGTGAGGACTGCATTTCTGGAGTTTAAAGCCTCATGCTTTGTCGGTGTCCCAGAAGTAAGCTCCCCTGCCAACTGGGTACTTGCCTATTTGAGAAATGTTGAGCAGAGACCCCAGGTCTCCTTCTGCTGAGGTTTGTGTGGCAAGAATTGGCTGGTGGCACTGTTTGGGAACTAGCCTCACTTTGGAGCCCAGTGGCCTCTGACACAGGAAGATTACAACTGGTCAATACCCTTTGCCTTCTCTGGTACTGCTAGTGTAGAAGGCTGTGTTGGCAGGCTGCAGAAGGGGAAGCAGAGAGTGTGTGTTGTGGAGTGGTCAGTTGGGCCATAGGTGCCTGAGACAAGCCAGAGTTCCCTCCAGACCTAGAACTTCCACCCAGGTGGCAGGCCTGCAGTGACACAGCCGGGGTGACACAGCTGGAGAAGTTGTTCAGTATTTTGTGTTTGTTTTTCTTCTAATGACCATCATAGGAGAGTGAGTGAATCTGAGCCCTGCAAAGAAAAGATAATGTGGCCTTACAATTATGAAGTGCTTTGCAAAAATTCTTCCTGACAACCCTTTAAAGTGCTCTTGTTTTTAAGAAGGACACACTGAGGTTCAGAGGGATGAGGTGACCTCTCAGAGTTAATGAGAGAGAACAGAGGATTTTTGTCTTGAAGCTCAGTGTCTTTTGTGATATCACCCTTACCTCCCCATCCACACCCATATAATTTGATAGAGCAAGTGTTCTGAGCCCAGCTAGGAGGCTGTGCAAGCGAGGGGCAGAATGGCCAGATATTTTGGGGCGGTCTCTGTAGCTTCAGGATCACTGATCAGAAGAAAGGACCTCTCCTAGCCCCTATATTCCTCTGCAGTCTCTCAAAATTTCCCAGTAGCTGATTATATCCTCTTGTTGTGCTTTCGGCATCTATTCAGAACTTTCTGAATCTGAGAGAAAGGTTGGACCAGAGCTAGTCAGCTCATTTGAAGTGGCTAGTTCTATGGTAGTTGACGACAATAGTGGGTAGGAGCACATCCCTTAGTGTTAATGGGGCCCTGGGTGCCCTTGTCACCAGGCTGCTTAACTGGCATTTTCAAGCCTGTCTTGTTATCATTTAAAATGACAGGATTTCGTTATTGTGGGGTGGAGAGGTAGATAATGGCTTCTCAGCTGAGAATGGACAATGTGACCTTTAAGAAAACATTTGGCTTTGGATTATAAGCTGCTTGCAAATCACTGAGTTTGGAAAATGCTGGTGTTCTCTCTAGCCACCAGATTCCCAGGCCCTGTTCAGGAACAGGTTTGCTTTCAGCCTTCTTCAGGCCAGCAAGCAGACTTCAGGACCTATAGGTGCCCCCTTCCTGATACCCTCACACACACACACACACACACACACACACACACACACACACACACACACACACACTGTTTCAGCCTTTGCAAGAGTGTCCAATGCAGGATAAATAGTCATGGACTAGGAGTTAGGAGACCAAGATCTGAGTCCCAGCAAAGTTACTGACCAACCTTTGCCATGTGACCTTGGACTACTAGCTAGCCCCTTCTCTGAGCCTTATTTTCCTCATTTACTCAGTGAAGGAGGGGCTGAACTAGAGCTCTGAGGGGTGGAGAGGGAAATAGAGGAGAGCTAAGAAAGAAGATGAAGCATCCTTTCTAGCCTTGTTCACTGAATACCAGAGGCAAGGCTCCCTCAGCACTCCTTTCTTCCTTCTGCTCTGGCTCTGCCTCAAGCCAGCTCATTCTGAGGAGGGAGGATTTCCAGGGTGGGACTGGACTGGGCAGGTATACTCTCAATGTTTAGAGTATGATTCTGTCTCTACTTGTTTCAGGCATGAATTAATCCACCCTGTGATGGTACTTTGTTATAAGACTTTATCAGCTCCTGTCCAGAAGCAGTTTCTTGAGCAGGCAGGAGTTAGGCCTGGGTAAGCAGGGAGTGTGAATGCACACCCAGGAGGAAAGCAGTAGTGGCAGGTGTGTCCATGGCTTTCTGGACATCAGAACCCTGGAGTTGTAATCATACTTTAGAGCAGTGATCCCCAATCTTTTTGGCACCAGGGACCAGTGCTCCTATGAGGATCTAATGCCTGATGATCTGAGGTGGAGCTGAGGTGCTGATGCTAGCACTGGGGAATGGCTGCAAATAAAAATGAAGCTTCACTTGCTCACCTGCCACTCACCTCCTGCCGTGTGGCCTGGGGACAGGCCAAGGACCAGTACCAGTTCGTGGCCCAGAGGTTGGGGACCCCTGCTTTAGAGTCTTTGGATGTCCAAACTGAGACAACCTCATAGTCCCTTTTGTGTGTACAGATGAGAGACCCAGGGCCAGAGTGCCTTCATAGCTTATGTCAGATTTCCCTGCCAGGGAGCGACAGAGCTAGGACCCAACCTAAGGTCACCTAAACCCAAGGCTTTAAGGTCATGACAGCACTGTCCAAAATTACCTTTCGTACCGAGCTGAAGTTGGGTGGTTATAGATTAGTTCCAACTTTGTCTCACTGGAGTTTAAAGAGTAAAATTCAGATTATTCTATTAGACATATAATGCCTGCTAATTACCAGGATTTGTGTTAAGTGCTGGAGATGCAAGAGTGATTGCTCCACCATATTGTGTAGACAGACATGAAAATAATTCAAATACACTAAGTCCATTTGCTTGTGCAATATGCAAAGGTATACGTGTGTTTGCACATGCATGCATGCCATATAATCAGGTGAGGGAGCTATCAGTTGTCGGGGCCTTCTGGAAAGGCTTTGAAGAGAGTGTAGCTTGTTCTGGGCTTTGACCTAATTGGCATGGGGGGAGGGCATTCTGGGTAAAGGAAACAACAGGAATGATAGTACAGAGCCTGACAAAATATGTTCTAGTCTTTGCACATTGAGTGGTCTGGCAGGGCCACTGAAATGGCAGGGATGAGGCTGAATGGTGGGCTGAAGCTAAGCTGCGAAGGGTCCCCATTGGCAGGCTGAGGAGTTGATTGTGAGCGAGAGTCCAAAAGCAAGGAAAGGAAGTCATCAGGTCGGGTGTGTTACAGTTCCTCTGACTATAGCATGGAGAACAAACCGTAGAGAGCCTTACTCGAGCCAAGCCAAGCTCAGTTCTGTGGCTACTGAAATAGGCCAGGTACAGAGTAATAGGGGCCTGTGTATGGACAGCAGTGAGGTTAAGAAGAGGATGGGTAACAAATACGTTTTCCTGACTGGTTAGATGTAGTCAACAAGGGAGAAAGAATAGTAAAGTGCGAATCTTCGTTTTTGCCTTGAGCAGTTGGCTAGATGCTTGTGTCATTCACTAGGGAATGACACAAGCTAGGGAACTTCGAAAGAGAAACTAACTTTAGTGGAGGTCACTTTTGGACATGGTACAACAGAGATAACCTACAGAACCCCCAAGTGGAAACTGAAGAATAGCAATAGGAACCTAAAAGTCAATACCAAGGTGGTGGGTGAAGTGTTAAAAGTAGGTGAGGTCGCCCAGGAAGGGAGTGTGGGTTGAGA